AATATCAATAACCTCAGATATGCAGATAACACCACCCTTATGGCAGAAAGTGAAGAAGAACTGAAGAGCCTCTTGATGAAAGTGAAAGAGGGGAGTGAATAAGTTGACTTAAAATTCAACATTCAGAAAACTAAGATCATGGCATCCGGCCCCATCACTTCATGGCAAATAGATGGGGAAACAATGGAAACAGTGCCAGACTATTTTGGGGGGCTCCAAAATCACTGCAGATGGTGACTGCAGCCATGAAATTAAAAGACGCTTGCTCCTTGGAAGAAAAGCTATAACAAACTTAGATAGCTTATTAAAAAGCAGAGACATTACTTTACCAACAAAGGTCCATCTAGTCAAAGCTATGGTTTTTCCAGTGGTCATGGATGGATGTGAGAGTTAGACTCTAAAGAAAGCTGAGCACCGAAGAATTGATGCTTTTGAACTGTGGTGTTGGAGAAGACTCTAGAGAGTCCCTTGGATTGTAAGGAGATCAAACCAGTCAATCCCAAAGGAAATCAGTCCTGAATATTCATTGGAAGGACTCATGCTGAAGTTGAAGCTCCAATATTTTGGCCACCTGATGCAAAGAACTGACCCACTCGAGAAGACTCTGATGCTGGGAAAGATTGAAGGCAGGAAGAGAAGGGGACAACAGAGGATGAGATGGTTGGATGGCATCACTGACTCAATGGACATGAGTTTGAGTAAACCCTGGGAGTTGGTGATGGACAGGGAGGTCTGGCGTGTTACAGTCCATGGAGTCCCAAAGAGTCAGACACAACTGATCGACTGAATTGAACTGACTGATACATACATAAATATGTATACATATGAATGTTCACACACACTGGAGAAGGAAATGGCAACCCACTCCAGGATTCTTGCCTGGGGAATCCCCTGGACAGAGAAGCCTGGTGGGCTGCTGTTCATGGGGCCACAAAGAGTCGGACACGTGACTAAGCACATACACACACATAAACGGACTAACACACACACATCACATTCAAGAGTCCACATGGAAGTTATGAAACACACCCATATTGCTGTGATTTATCAAAGTATAGTAAATGAATTACCACAAATGAACAATTGCTCCCAAATCAAGTAGGTGGCACAATGTGATTTATGCATATCGTATGAGATGAATAAATCCACGGTGGAAAAGATCAGAGGCAAAGCTGGAATTGTTGTTAACATGTACAGGGCTTCACTGAAAATCTTCTTAATAAAACTGTTTAGAGGAAAATAGAGGGATCATTTGTTTAAATGAAAAGAGATACTGCATGTGCTGAATTTCAAAAGCAGCATTCATTTTCATACACATACATTAGATCTGGCTAAAATTAGCTCCAGTTTCTACCTTATTTTTTTTAAGGTCTTAAAAGAATAAAGGTTTCAACAAAATTTCATTGAGCTGAAGCTCAGCCCTAAGTTTCCAAGGTGCCGGAGCATCTTGGGAAGACCCACCCCCCCCCACAACTTCGCTGCACTCCATTATCTACTTGGGCATCATCCCTATTTTCCAGCCACTCTCCCTTTGCCTCAGGTCTTAAACAGGAAACATATGAAGGTTGGGTCACACCAGTGTTCCATTTCTGCTGCCCCCACTGCCTCTTACCTTCCCTCATATATTCCACTCTGGCTGACTTCATTGCTGAGAGAATACTCATTCCCGCCTGCCTGGTAAACTTCCTACCAGGCACAAGAACCCAAAGCCCAGACTCAAAGATCACTTTTAGGCCAGTGGCTCCTCCAAATTTCCTTCCAGATTGGACCTCCCTGCAATCTTCTTCTCACACTCTCTAGTGCCTGCTGGTCTCCAGAAACTCAGATGTCCACCAGCATCTGGGCTTCCGCCAAAACAGCCTGATCGATCACACACCATGCTACTTGCCTGTTAGGGCCCAGCCACCAAAACAGTCATCCTTCCGCCCTCTCCATTTCTTCCCAAAGAGATGTTAACCAGCCTCCAGAGTTCAACTCAAATGGTGCTTCCTCCTCCAAGTTTTTCCCCATCATCCTACTCAGCACCATTCTTCTGAATTCCGTGTCAGAATCTACCCCAGTAAGCAAAACCCACCCCCTTCTGCTCTGTATTAGTAATTTCAGAGCATGTCTTCTTTCCCCTACTTGACCACGAAGAATATAACCTCCTTCTGGTAGCTCTTACTCACTCTGTGCAGTAGTAAAAAAAAAAAAGTTCACAGTGAATAAATGAATGAATCATTTCTTTATATAGACAGTGCCTGTGAACAAGGTAAGTCATAACTTGCTATAGCTATATCACATTGATATGGCTTCCCTGGTGGCTCAGTGGTAAAGAATCCACCTGCCAATACAGGATATGCAGATTTGATCCCTGGGTTGGGAAGATCCCCCAGAGAAGGAAATGGCAACCCACTTCAGTATTCTTGTCTGGGAAATCCCAGGGACTGAGGAGCCTGGTGGGCTACAGTCTATAGTGGGTCACAAGGATTCAGACACAACTTACCAGGTAAACAACATTGTATTGATAAAATAGCTAGAACCTAAAATAACTATAATCTAGGTTTTATTTTTTAAAAAAACCTAATAAATATAACAAAGTACAACATGAATGATACTGTTTCCCTGCTCACGTTTAGCCATCAACTGTGAGGACTGTAATGAGGCCATTATTTATGCAACATGTTTAGCTAATAGTTATAAGCTTCCTTTAAATGTGATCCCAGGACATGTCAGCTGCTTAAAACTCAAGGTGACTCTGTACTACTTTGTCAGTAATACAATACTAACATTCCTACAACCTTTAATGCACTGTACTATGTACTACAAAAACCTGGATCTCTTCTCAATAAGCTTCACGTACTAACTGAGAGACAGGACTCGTTGCTGCCTGATTTTTTCATAATAAAATTCTTGAGACATTCTTGTTTTAACACATGACTCTCTTTAAAACACCGCAGGTTTAAAAAAAATTGCATATGTATTAACCACACGTGCAATTAAGCTACTTCCCCAAAAATGTCAATGTGAGAACTTTCTGCCTAAAATGGATAATACCCCTAAGAGAGAAACTAGCAATAAGACATTGCACCCCTTTCAATGGAGTTGATACTTATAGACCTCATGAGGCTTCCCTCTGCACATAATTCCGGAGTTATTCTGTTTCTCTTAAAATACACCTCCCAACCCACAGCCCATAAAATATAAAGTACCCAGTTCCATATTTCACAAGGACAGAACGCGTGTGATAACTTCTCCCTCCCCTGCCTTGCACCCCAGAAGGACTTTACTGACCCCCCTTCCTGAGGCACCGTACATCAATCATTCAGAAGTGTGCGTGTGCGTTTTCACTCAGACCACAAATAACTTCACTTACGCCTGCAACTCAGCAGTTCATCCTACAGTAGAAAACACACAGGGATCCTGTGTCAGGAATCGAGGCAGACACAAAACCCAGAAAAATAAATAAAAGGCCCTTTGGCTTTGCAGGGCTGCAAATGTCCACAGTGTTGGTCCAAAGACCAAGGTACAGGAATATTTACTTACTCCTCGTTACTTATGGTTAAGAAGCAACCATCACCAAACAAGAACGTTACAATCACCCTGTCAAGACAAGTCACATGCTCACAGTGATAGCTTATGTTAAATGGATCATAAACCATATACCAGGTTACTATTCTGCCCAGGATACAAATATTACATCATTCCAACCTCACAGCAGCCCTAGCGAAAGTTCTCATACGATCTCCATCTTACACATGAAGAAACTGAGGCCCGGGAAGGTTACAGGAGTGCCCCGGGTCACAGCAGCAGTTCCAGATCTTAAATTCAGACAGGCTGGTTCCAGTGCCCCGCGTCCTTATTTTAAATACCACGGAATTTATATTGAACTTAAAAAACTGGACCTTAGAAGCCACGCTGTCGGGGAGGGGGGCAAGTTCTTTATTTAAAGAAATCTAGTGAATCAGTTTCAAAATGAACATTCTAATAAAAGAAGGATTCGCCTCCTCAACATGAGCTGAAAATCCAGATTTCTGTATGTAAGGCTGGATAAAAGTGGTTGGTGCAACTTATCAGGGAAAGAAACAGAACATGACTTGGGAAGAGCTGCCCAGAGACCTCCAGATCCAGCCCATGCCACAGCAGTGTAACGTCAGTGTGACTCCAAAAGACCATTCTGGTTCATTTGGATTCAGTGGGTCTAGGGTGGAGTCCGGTTCTATTTTTTTCTTTTTTTTTTTTAACCTCTCCTGGCGATTCTGGTGTCCCGCCAGGCTCAAGAACCTCTGAACTAGTCTATTTCCACAGCTTGGAGCAGGACTACTCCCAAGGCAAACAGAAGAGGGGATCGATTTCACAATCTCCTCCGGTTGCAAATACCAGTGTTCCCAAGCCCTTATTGCCCCAACTTCAAACTAACTTCCCCTGCCCTCCTGATTCTAGGCAGGCAGTCTTCCCTTCAACAGAGAGCCATGAGTCATCAACCCATCCACCCTGTGTCTGTATGACTCTCCAGGTCAGAAAAATTTACTGTACATGAAGAAAGCAGGAAGTCGTCAAATCCAAAACAGACACAGAGAAATTCAAGATCCAACCAACACGGGTTGCTACCGAACCAACAAGCTGTCTCCCTGCACCACAGTCACACAACCACCACAACCTAAAACGTGGAGACAATGACTTAAGATGACCGTTTGGTAGCAAAACTTGCTCATCGGCTCCAAGTACAGGTGACGATTAAAACAATCAAGCTCAAGCCCAGCACACAATAATTAACCATCGGAAAGACAGAGGCAGACTACGTCATCAACCAAATAAATCAAAAAAGAGGATACCTTAATCCAAGTTTAAAAAAAAAAAAAAAACACCTCTCTGCAATTTCTCAATTTCCCACACAATACAGTTTGCAAAGACAATTATCTTCAACAGTCTGCAAAGTGCTAAAGTATGACTAGTAGGCGATTTTCCCAGGCCAGACTTTATCCTCATATAGAAACCAGAGAGCATCGCAAAACTCTCACCTGATGGGTGTCGGGCTCCCCCGAAGCAGCCGTGGAGGAAGAGACTGCTGTCCAAAGATGACAGACAAATCTGCAGCTTGAATGGAACACCTCGGTGATTTGCAGCCGGATCCTCCTGCAATGGTCCAGGGGGTGCAGAAGAGGAAATCCAAAATGAGAAACAGCACGAATGGCTTTAAAAAATAATAATAATTACACCTGAAGACACCATGCAGGGAAATCTAAACTTCAAGAACATCAAATTTTGCATTGTTTTATGAGAATTACACAGGCACCAGCCAGCTCAAACGGCAGGTCTGGTTTGATTCAATAGGGCTCGGAGGGAGGCCAACACACAAAAAGGTCATCCCTTCAATCAAATTAAAAGCTTGGTCTCTCCATTTGAGCCAGCTACTGTCAATCTTTCTCTGAGATTTTAACGAATCACCTCATAAACACATGCTGGTCATCACGGGACTATCAGGTGGAAATGGGCATGGACTGAATAGTAATTGAGCCAAAGTCTAATTTTCATGAGGCATATCTTACTATCAACATGCAACTTTAGGCACAATCATGACACAGAGCACAGTTGTTAGCATACCAGTCTAATGGGATAGAAAAAAAGAATCAAATGCATAAAAAAAAAAAATTTAAGTATGCATATACTCACTAGAGTTTCCACTGAACTTTAAATGATTTAATTACTGACTGTACATCTACTTGATTTTCATTCTGCCATAACATCTTGAGCATGTTTAAGTAAAGATTACCCACTGTAGGATGAATGAGTGAATGTGTGAATGGATGAATGAAAGAGAATGAATGAATCTTCCATATACCTTTCCATCAGGGAGCTTGGCGCTCGCAGTAGTTTTTGTGAGGTAAACACCTATGCATAGAAACGGAAGAAGTTGAGGACTTGATTGGCTAACATACTTTCCTATCTATTCAAAGCATATTTTTAAATACTGGTAGTTCCCAACTGTCCACATTAAATAGAATCAGGAGCACAGTTATTATAAACTAATCCCCAAACTCATCATTGCTGGACTGATTTTTTTTTTTTCAGCCTTTCATTACTGGAGCTGATCTGCATATTTGCTTAGGCTGGTTTTAAATTTAGTTTGGGTTTCCTAAGCCCACGCCAGGTAACAGTAGGAAGGAGAAGGCTCAGGATTATATTGGGTGTCAGAAAGAAACTATTCTGGAGCTATGAATATGATCTTCAATGTGAATAATCTGTAAACAGGTAAGTGAGCCAATTAGCCTTGGGTACATGGCAACACATCTCATGATTATTTTCATCCATACACACTCACTATTTTTAAGAGCACAGCCCAGCTGGAAAGGAAAATAATGTCGATTGCTTTCCAACACTTTGCAAAGTAATGAATAGTAGCCAAAGTATTCTTACTTCTAGCTAATCCATTCACCAAGTATTTATTTAAGCATCTTTTGCATGCCAGAGACTGATATGCAGAAGGAAGTTTTCCAGGCCTTGGTTTCCCCATATGTAAACAGTTAAGTCTGCGTGCTAAGTTGTTTCAATCATGTCCAACTCTTTATGACCCTGTGGACTGTAGCCCACCAGGTTCCTCTGTCCATAATACTGGAGTGGGTTGCCACACCTCCTCCAGGGGATCTTCCGAATAGGTCGAACCCAAGTCTCTTGTCTCTTAGGTTTCCTGCATTGGCAGGCAGGTTCTTTACCACTAGCGCCACCTGGGAAACCCCAAACAGTTAAGTGTAGAGGAAGAAGGAACCCTTTCTAGACTATCACATCTCTGTAGTCCTTGGAAGACAAGCCCTCCAGTAAGAAGCTTGTTGAGTTACAAACATTAATAGTGGCCAAGTTAAATAAAAGCTCATAATATTCTATTTATTCTTATACAGTACTTGGTTTAAGGGCCAGGGGGTGATCTTGATTTTATCTAGTAACATCTCAAATGAAGCCTCAAAATCCTTGATCATCACTTTCAAACAATGTGCAGGTACCATGGATTTGCAGAGTGCTTGCTTTATGAGCTAACGATTGAGAGTGTTGGCTTGTGTATCGACGTGTGTGCACACTATCCTATTTACCTATCACTTGGCAGATAAGATTTTATAGAGTCCAAATTACAGTCTCCTCCTATTCTGCTGAAGTGCAGAGAACAGCCAAACATGATGCAAATGCTGTAAAATATTAATTTACTCTGGTGTCAATATGCCTACTTATTTCAAAAGCATCTGTGTTGCTACACCGGTTAGGGTAACTAAAGAGTTAACATAACTTGCTGTGTTCTATCAGAGGGAAGAAACCAAAAATAAAAGCAAGGCAGAATGGATTCACTGCAAAAATATACAGACAACATACAATAAAATTGCCTATAGACTGTTTAAGACAATATATCTACTAAAAATGGAATTTTTAATATTTAAAAAGCACAGCAGAGCAACATAACACAATCCTATAAATAGCGGGAGACAGAAAGGTGGCCTAAGTGATACTGATGTGACAGTCAGAAAAGAGGAGATAATATATAAACAATGCAGATACAGAAGAAAATATCAATACTTCAGGGAGAGTAGGCCAAAATTAAGGGTGCAGTAAAAGAAAATGTGCCCTACACGGTGATAGAAAAAATAGATTTTCTGTGAATGCTAGAAGCATAAGAGTTTACAGGTTAGCAGCTCTAACAGTGATGACTAAAAACTTCTGATAGATAACTCAAAAGGTATCCGTTAAAGAGCACCTAAGTAGAAAAAAGAGAACTTCCTCTTAGCCTGAACCCAAATGCCATCACCAAGGGAGCCTCTGCCCCCTGAAGCCTCAAATTGTGATTACACTACAATGAGTTTTCTGAAAAGTAATTTTCAGGTTCAGTATCCAATGTTTGCTTGCGTTATTGCCATTACCAGTGCTTTTCCATTACTTCACAAATGGGAGGCATTAAAAGTTATATTTTAAAAAAAATCAGTGAAACAGTTCTGCTCCCATCAAAAATGTCAAAGAGAATATAATGCTTGTTGCTTTTTTGTCTTTAATAGTTCTAAACATGTTTTAGTACATTTGAGGTGGTAATAGGTAGTACACATATTTATAATGCATTAGCCTGAAAAGTTCAGATTTATAAGGATTATAAAATATACTATTACACTGATAAAGACAAAGATACATAAATTATGAAATAGGGAAGAGATTTCTGAAAACTGTTTCCACCATTAAAGATTATTTACCTAAGCCTTTTTATTACTCCTGGAATTTTAAGCATTTACATATTTTTAAAACCTTCATCCAATTATAACTCTTTCAGCCAACATTTGAAAATATTCTCTTAAAACTAGCACGGAGTATACACTTATCACCTCTTAAAGAAATTTTGAATGTGTATTTTATTAAACTGAGTTAAATGAAATTAAAATCTGAACAGAGTAAATGAGGACTACAAAATTCTTTCTTTAAAACAGGGCAGTCCTGCGTGGAACGCCCTAGAACAGAAATTACTATCTCTTTTGGGATTTCTATGATTTCTTATTTTCGATGCTTTTCACAAAATAAGGAGAGCCTGCTTCTGATAAGCTGGGAAGTATGAGCAGAACTAAATCTGCTCTTTGAAGCAGTTAAGCTGCACATATCAAAAGATATAAAGTAATGGAAATCAAATCATCTGTCTCCCCATAAAAATAATATTCTGTCTTGCTCCACTATGTCATCTTACATATGCACGTATTTAAGCTTTTCAGAAGTGAAACTGTGTGTTACTTGCAGACAACTATAGTTTAAAGAATTAACATTCACTCCTACCTTCGCTAAATTTCAGGCTTTTAGTAAAAACATGTTTATTGACTACCTTCTCATAGGAAACAAAATGAGCCGGTGTTACCACGCGTTAGTCATCAAAAACTGTCATTCAAGGTAAATGCAAACAGAAAATCCACTTGACATTTCAGAATGGAAAAAAAATAAAGGCACATTATACAAAAGGAATGTGAATCAAACCCTGTAATGACAACAAAACAAGGAGTCACAGAAGCATGTTTGTTAATATTTTAATAAGCTCTTAAGGCTGGCCTTTCCTGGGACCCCCCAGACAACTGAGTTAGGCCTGTTGAAACATGAGGACAGCTACAGACATTTCATGTACAGTCTGATGGCTGAAGAGCTGTTCTTGAATCTATTTGCAAGAGTAAAAGACAATTTAGAGGCCAGGAAGCCTAGTTATAATATTTCTGATTAAATATCACTTCTATTTTATCAAACCCTCTTAAAACGAAATCCAGAAGGGAAGGGGAAGATACTGATTTTCACAGTTCCCAATCAAGTACATTTTTCATACTTATTTTAACATAAATTTATTTGTGCACTCAAAAATACACATTCACATCTGGCTGCCAGTAAAGTGTTTTTCTGTGCATAGTAATATGTAATTCAGGACCTCCAAGGTGTTGTGTAAAATGTAAACTTCTGTGCTTCCTTTTATATCCTTGCCTCTCCCATCTATTTACCTCCTAGAAATAATGGCTTGCTTTAAACACAGCAACACTTGATCTGAGCAGGTCTCAATCATGTTACCAACTGCATAGACTCACTAAAGGGTAGAAACTCATAAGCCCTCTGTGAGGAACAGAGGAGCTCTCTCAATCCAGGCCCCAGAGGTTAAAAAAAAAGCACTTACCAGTTTAGGTATGGGGTTGTAAAACTGTAAACTGACTAGCGGGGTCACACAGACATCCAGACATTATTATTCTCAATTATTTTTTCTTCAAATATCAGAGTAATTAAAATACTCCCCCTTATTTGGATTGCCTGAGCAACACAGAGCTTCAGCAACCAAAGCTACTTTCCTTTTTTTTCCCCAACAGTATTATTTTTCTTTGCATAGCAGGCTCATTAAGGTGGTCGCCTAATGCAAAGAGCAGAATGTTGTTCGTTAAGTTATTAAATGCTCATTAAATTTTACCCCCAAATAGAGTACAAATTATGCAATTTGTACTTTGCATAATTGTAAAGTACAATAAAATTGTACTTTATTGCAATTTGCAATTTGGTGCAAAAGCACCAAACATTATCAGCCTACCAGCTAAAGGCCTGTATCATCTCTTACCTGAAACAAAAACCTTTTAACTTACTAACTCCAAGGTAAGGATCCTGGCCAAGAAATCCAAGTTAAGAATGAATACATTCAGAATGACTGCTTACTTCCAGTAGCATTTTTTTTTTTTTTTGTCATTAGGATGGCCATAAAGTTTTTAAATATGACTACGGGGATATCCTTCTCAAATAAATTACTTCCGCTGAATAAATCCTTTAGAAAACCCCGCTATTGGCAGCTTGGGTTCTAAAGGATGAGTTCTTTTGCACTTGAAAGGGTTAAGTGCCTGCAAGGCCAAAGGCACCAGACTGCAAGAGAAAGGTTGCTTTCCTCAGTTCGTCAGCTCTGAAAGGTTTCTAGCAAGTACCAAATACTTGTTGATGTATTCACAAGCAGGATTGTCAGGCTCCTTTCACGGTCTGGGGAGATGCATTTACATACTGCACCCAGTCAGCACAGCTTGTTGGTCTCCTTTATAAAAGTTGAGTAGCTAGAAGCCTCATTCAGCGTCTCCCATCCGCAAGTGACAGAAAGAAGATGCGGCTGAAATAGTAAAAAGAGTCTCTCATCTGGTTGGGGCAGCACAAATACTGTGCATCAAACACTTGGGAGTAGTCCAGGCACAGACAAACCCACCTGAATGGACGGGAGAACACTGTCTGTTGCCATGGCAGCCTGATCTAATTACATGAGTGATCAGGGATGGAGTAAGTGCACCGAAAACCTACACCCGCTGACAGGTATCTACGAGATGAGAAAGGCAGTCAGGCGGAAGGTTCAGGGGAGCCCTTCGACCTCTGCTTTCTGGAGAAGGTGGCACTCAAGCCCATTTATCTGTGGAGCTGCTGCTAAAATATTGACTGATGCAGGCACAGTTAGAGGGCACTCAGAGATTAAACGCCATAGCATTAGCCCTTACAGCGCAATCCCTTTCCAAGAGTTCATGTGCAGGGTTCTCCTCCTGCTCTCCGGTCGTTTCCTCAGGCAGACGCTCCATTCCAAAAAGGGTTCAAGTGTCAAACTACCCTCTCCCACCAAATAAACCACAAGGTGGGCTTAAGACGGGGGCTTCCAGGAACTGTAGGGTTCCTCAGAAACCCGAATGAAATGGCTTAGCTAACACGGTCGAAAAAGTAACTAGCTGTGCCTAAAAATAACCCATCAAGTACCCGCTGCTGCGAGCGACATGTAACGATGATGTTTAAATATTAAGAACAGCCTGCATTATAAAACACAAATGTCATTGAGATGTGACTACGAGATTGCCAAAGGAGAACTTATTTGCATACACACATTCCCGTGCAAGCGCCAGGATGTGCAAGGAGCATGCCACTCTAAGCCATTAGTTTTTATTCTGTGGGTGTAATAGGGTCTTCTAATTTTGCTAATTGTATCCTGTGGCTCTCACAGGGAAGCTAAGGATCTCTTCGGGGACAGAACCAGTTTGGAGGAGTCCCTACTGCACAGCATACGGTAAACAAAATAAAAATAGCTTGCCATTCTCCTTAGCCACATCGCGCATTATATAACCAGCTTCCGACTGGCTTTCTGTGTGTGTGTGCGCGCCCTTACTACTCTTCAGCAATTTCCCAATCTCTCGAAGTATTTATATTACCCTCTTATCTGTAGAATTATATACCAAGAAAGCAAAACAAAACAGAGCAGCCACGGGACTGAACTGAACCCCACTAGTCCTTAGAAACTGATTTTTTTGTTGTTTGTTTTCTGGCAGGATCTCCACCACCACCCTACTTCCACCCCCCACTAAGGTTCTTGCTCAATCTCCCTAGAAAACCTGAATTGTTCCATCGCTTCCAGTCAGCCCCCTACGTGGTCTGAAATAAAATGAAAGCACCAGCCGCGGAGTTTAGGAAGGCGGCCTGAGGGCGGGGGTGGCCCAGGAGGGGTCAGGGCGCTGCGGAGTCAGCCAAGCAGCCACGGCCGGGCCCCCTCCCCACCGCGATGTCCCGGCCGCCCCCTCCCCCGCACGCGCGCGCGCGCACGCACACACACACACACACACACACACACGCACGCACGCACTCACACACTCACGCCGCGCTCCGCCGCCGCCTCACCTCTCGCTCCGCCCGGCCGGCCCCCTGCCCTGCCCCCTGCGGGACCGGCCTGCGCGCAGCGCTGGAACCACGTAGGAGGCGGCGGCGGCGGCCGCGGGAGTGGCGGAGACTCCGGCCCGGCCCAGAGTGAGCGAGCAGCGGGGTTCCGGGCGCATCCCAGCGCCCGCAGCGCCTCCTCCGCCGCCGCCGCCTCCCCCCTCCCCTCCTCCCGGCTTCATTCACCCTCCCAGCAGCCGCGCAGCCGCTCACTCCCGGCGCGGGCAGGGCAGCGCCTGCCGCGGCTTCCCAGCTCCGGCCGCGGGCGCTGGCGAGGGCTCCGGCCCGGGCTGGGGCGCTCGCGGGCTCCCGGCTCCGGGAGGCGGCGGCGGCTGCACATGATCAGGAAGCGGCCGTACCAACAGGGCGGCGGCGGCAGCCGCCCGGGCCGCCACCGCCACTCCGGCCGCGCTCCCGGCACCGCGCGCCTGCCCTCCCCGCGTCCACCTCCCTTGGTGCCCCCCGTGATCCCACCGCCCGGCGGCGCGCGCAAAGTCCCGGCCCGGCTGCGGGCGCAGACCCTCCCGGTCCGCAGTCGCGCCCTGGCCCAGGCCGGCCTCCGCCGGGAGACCCCCGCCCCAGGGGCTCCGGGGCCAGGCGGCCCCCGCGGTAAAGCCAGCCCTCTTCCAGATCTGCTCGCTCTCGCCGCCCTCTGCGAAGAGAGGAGTGAGGAGGGGGCGGCGGGAGGAAAGGGCAGCGCGACCCCCGGCAGCCACCTCCCCCCTACGCCACCTCCTGGGAAGAGGACACGGCTCTCCCCACTGGCGTTCGGACCAGCAGTAGTGGGGAGCCGCCGCGGATCTACCCGCCAGCCCGCGCCCCCCGCCCGGGCGCGCCCCCTCGCCCGGGGGGCGCCCACCCGGCCCCTGCACACCACCCCCCTGCCGGTGGTCTCAGCGCCCACAGCTGGGGATGTCGGCCCGGGAGGCTGGAGCCGGGGAAGGGTGTATGTACACACACACACACACACACACACACACACACACCACAACACGACGCGTCGATTTCCTTCGCTCCTCTTCCAGCTGTTTTCCGTGCCGCCGAATGGGGTTTGGGGTTTGTTTGCTGGTTGTTGCTTTTGCCCCTCTCGGGAGAGCGGGGTAGAGGGGGAATCTTGATCTAAATCAGGGGAGAAGGAGATGGGGGGAGGGGGGAGAGAAAGAATCAGGAGAAAAAAAATAGCCACTTACTGTAAAGTGTAAATGGATCTGGGGTTGCGTGGGGAAGGGGGGGCAGAGGGAGAGAAACAGTGTCTTGCGGCTGCTGTAGCTCTGGCTGCTGCTCCACGGGGCTTGTTTTGGATCCCCCTGCAGTGAAACAGGTCCTGAACGGCTCCGCCACTGTAGTAGAAATGATGTCTGCGGTATACTCTGCTCTCTCCTCCTCCTCCCCCCGCCTCCCCTCCCTCCTCCCTCCGCCCGCCCTCCCTCGCGCTCTCTCGCGCTCGCTCGCTTGCTCGCTCCAGTATGTAAATGTGTAATAGAAGCCAAATATGGAGCAGTTGGCTGCCGCCGCCGCAGCTCAAGGATCCGACTTCGGGGCGGGGGGGGTTGGGGGGGCCACCCTCCGGCGGGGCGGCGGGGCGGCGGGGCGAGCCGCTCTGAGCACCAGGAGCGCCCGGCGCAGCCGCCGGCCGGCGCCCTTAACCCTTGGGTGCGCGCATCCCGGGGCTCGGCAACCCCCCGAGGAGGCGGGTGCGTTTCCCCGAGACCCGCTCGGGATCGGGGTTGGCGGTGGGGGGCAGGGGGGGACGCGGGGCGGGAGCGGTGACCGGGACCGGAGGGGACAGTTCTTCCAGGTTTGGGAAAGGGGCGGGGAGCTAAAGCGATGAGGTAATTGGAGCGGTGACCGGTCGGTCCTCGCGCGCCTCCCCGGGTCCCTGCATCGAGTTGTGAAGGCACTGGCTGGGCGCGACTCAGGCACCCTGGAGGGACTCTTCGAGGGGTGCCGGGCTGCAAAGCGGAGCCCGTGAAATCCCCTCTGGGGAAGGAGAGGTGGGCCGGTTCCGATCCCGACGTTCCCTTCGTCCCGGGCGTGCGGAGAAGCCTCTAAGAGGGCTGACTCCGACCTTCACGCACGTTAACCCTCAAACCGGTTTAGCCTCGGCGTTTTGGAACCCAGCCCACCGAGCCGCGGAGATCGCCTTGGCGTGCAACTCAGGAAAGTTTGAAGGGTCCTGCCCCCAACCCCCCGTATGCACGTGCACCCTTACCTTTCCTGCCTGTGAAAGCTGGTGACCAGCCTGCTCTCCCTTCTCTTTCTGCAGGTCCGGAAATCTGCTTGGAGCACGGAACTACCCAACTCGAGCCTGGGTAGACGACCCGCGCGCTCCTCTCGCAGCTAATTCGGGATCATTAATTTCATCGGAAATGAGGTAACCAGTGTAGGAGATAGAGAAAGCAAACCGAGCATCAGATGGCAGTTCTCGTGAATCCGCGCGGTAAGAACTTCCTCTGGACTCAATTTGTTTAAGTGCGGTTCTCAGCTCCTCGCCACCCGTCCCTCCGTGGGTACCACCGCCAGGCATTAGCTGGAAGGGAAGGACTCATTTGGACCGGTGGTACCTGACCAACAGGTGTGCCACCTGGAGGAGGAGAAGGCACGGCCATGCTACAGGGAGTTCAGTGCGGCGGCGTTCTCCTGGCTGCAGATAATTCTGGAAGGCCGGTAGGTGTCGGGCAACATTTGACCTTTTTCAGGTGCTTTGACCAAATGGCTAGAAATAGGATCCCTCCACGTAAGTTTCTCTCTGGAAGTCTCCACTTGACTGCAAGTTGTATTTGAGAAATCTTTTGGCTTAATTTACTTATGATCTAACCGTTAGTCACCAACTGAAGCAGGATGCAGAATCACCAAGAGAAATGTGTCAATTTAAACAACTGTATTGTAGAGCCGAGGTGCTGCCGAAATAAAAATAAGCATCCTAACTAGGAAGGTGTAGTGCCCTGGAAATATTTGTTTCTCACATTTTGAAATACCATGCACATATACATGGCTATTTTAAAAGAACTACTACTGTTTACTCGTTTTTACAACTTTTTTTTTTTCCCCACTTAAAAATCAATGATGGTTACAGTTTAAAACCCGGGTTGGTCTAAAGTGACATTGTTGGTCTCATTACAGCCTCTAGTGGACAATTAAAATCAGTTTCCTGAAAAGGCTTTGCCTGGCGTTGTGTTCGTTGACAAGCATTATCAAGGTGAAGGTTAATAACCGGGTAATAATATTTTTTCTCCTGTATTGGCAGACCCGGTTTCTGAAAGGAGTAGAAGCTGTTGGCTCTGCACGGAAAAGACCTATGCTTTGTGAGGCAGGTATTATTATTACTGACCTGTGAATAAACAGAGAACTTCTACTCTTCATTTCAGATTCAGACAGCTTTCATAAAAAAATAAATTCATCTAAAATATTTTTATAACAGAAAATATTGGTTGCCATGTTTTTGGTTTAACTGAGATGCTTTCATTCCAACTCCTAATCTGCAGATTGTCCAATCCACCTCCACTCTATTTTTAGACATCTTACATTTAGACAATTTGGGGTAAAAAAAAAAAAACACAGCTAATACTTTCATTATTACTCCGATACAAGCAGTTATTATAATAACCTTAGACAAATTAAAACACATAATTCAGATAACAGTTAGTCAATTAATTTAAATGTTCCCTCAAGGAAGGTAAATATGTTTATTACCCAAACAGTAATAACAATTAATAAGAACCATGTCATTTACTTACTTAGCCATTAAGGTTAAAACCATAATCCGCCATTAAAATCTGTAACTATTTCTTCCTACAAGGTCCAACATAAACATAATACTCACAATATAATTTCATCACCTTTAGTACTGATATGTTGTATTTTCAGATGGCAAAATATGAAACGTACAATCACAACTGGCCCTGATTTCTTTAAAAACAATACCTTCTCCAGCAAATAAAAACTCAGTGAAAGAAGGGTTTTCAAGAAGCCAGTAAGCAACTCTGTAGTACTATGCTTCTATTCATAAACCTGGTACTACATTCATACCAGCATGAGTTGAACTTTGCAATTAAAGGAGATTGAAAAATAAGGCCTGCTGAGCCTTCTTTCTCCTAATCTGTGTTCTGTATTGCTTGAACACTCATATCTACTTCACTGTTAGGGTAATGTCTACTTTTAAAGGTTTAAAATGGCCTATCAAGTATATTTTATATCATATAATTACATATCACATCGTGCTTCTGAAAGCATAGTCTTCAGAGCAGCATCTGGAAGCTCTTTAGACATTCAGAGTTCCACCCCAGACCTACTGAATCGCAGTGTAACTAACATCCCCACCTCACCCCAACCCCCCACCCCACAGTGATTCCTGAGTGCATTACCCTGTCCACACTCCAGGGCTCTGTCTAGATGAATTTGTTCACAAACGTGGAACTTGATTCTTCAATGTATTCCTTTTTATTCCCTTCCCTTTTATTACTTTGCACTTTTCAAATGAAAAATCATTAACATTGTATGCTTTGGTCAAACAGTACTGCATTTCAGAAGGGCCCTGAGTTATGCACAAATCTGCATCATCATTGCCAAGGGAACACTCTGTAAGGAATATACCAGGGTCTTGGACATGGAGGTTTTCTTCACGGCAGCAGAGGGAGCACAAGAGTGCTTAATAAAGCAAGTGTACAGGCCCTCCAAATCACAAGGGCTTTTTAATTGTAGAATATGTCTTCATTGGAAGTAGCCTCTTACACAGTTCAAAGACAAAGCAAACACAAAGGGCTCAGCAGCTTGTAACAACTAAATAATAGAATGGATTGGAAGATAAATAGTCAGTAGCATATAGATATAATTATTTACAGTTTAAGATTTGAATTCTTAAAGTGGGCCTCAATAGTCATACTTGAGAAAGATGCCTTATCTTTTCTGCCGTGAAAAATAAAGATATACAACATGGAGTAAGGCAAGTGAGAGTCACTCCTGTTTCTCACAGTCATCTTAGGGGGTTATCCTATATGTTTGCAGTGGAGTAGATTTAAGTTTCAATTTTATCAATGTAGCTTTTCATACATTTTACAGCCCTTCCACATTGAATCTTCCAGTGCTTCTGGGAGATGGATGAGACAGGCTATAAAACTCAGCCTCTAAAAAGTTTTGGGACTGGCTCATGCCTGAACGGTATTGAGTTGTTTAATGATGAACAAGTCATTAACTTGTTACTAATGAACAAGTCAGTAACTCACTGACTTGTTCAGAAATGAGGGAAATCATACAGGTTGAAGACCCAGCAACATGTTCTTTATAGTTTTTAAGATTTTTCAAAGTTATTAGGTAGTAAATATTTAATAAGTGAATATTTAAATGAGAAACTTATGAACAGAGACAGTCTTCATTCTCAAGCTATATTTTTATGTGTTTATCACTTATTTACCAGCAGCCATTCATTTTGCATTTACAATAACTAGGCCCTGAGACTATAAAGATGAGTAAGACATTTCCGTCTGCAAGGAGCTCATAGCAAAACAAATCTTATCTTTTGAAAAATGTCTATTTTTACCTATGATGAAACTTAAAAGATTCATAGTTGATTGTTCCAGTACCTCTCAGAATCAGTATATTGATCAGACTTCCAAACACGAGGCTCAAATACTAGGATCATTGAAAATTTGGTTGGGGGTCAGGCAATTGTGTAAATCATCAGTCAAAGTTATTTATAAAGCTAATATTAATATTTCAATTTGTAAAACAACCAAAATATAAAGATACAACATATATTTTATTTGATATCCTTGCCTATCCAAAAAAAAAACCAGTAAATTTAAATGGTCAGCATTTAATAATTTATATATTTTTCTTAAAAATTGTTAAAAAGAATTTCCTCCAGGCTAAAGAAAGATCTGCCAAATTTCAACCTGCAGCAATTTGTTGCGGTTGTGTGATAACGCCCCCCCCAAAGTTAATGGAAACACTGACAGTTCTTTAACCATGGTATTATAAGGAGAGTGGTAGCCTAATATATATATATCATTTAAAAATCTGAGCAAACCATAGCGTGCTTACAAAACCAATATGCTTTCCTTAGACTGCACTTCCAAATAAAGCTGAGAGACCAGAAAAGTAAAATAAACTCAAAACAAAAGTGAAAACCACTCACACAATAGACTCTGAGGTCAACTCACCACACCCAAATTGAAGTCACTGGGCTTTGCTCTTGGCATGGAGACTCTTAAAGGACTTGCTTCTGAATCAGCTTTCTTGACCCTCCAACAAACTGTAGCAACACAGGCTTCTGGGTAATGAAAGTAACATCAGCAGTAGTCAAGAGTGAAATTAAAATCATTGTGTTTAAACATCTGCTGACAGTTTATGACTTAATAGTACACATATTAGGCAATTTTAAATAAGATTCTGTCTACAATGAA